GACACTCCATGCAAAGATATCAATGCCCGATTCACAACAGTGTCTCTAAAAGCTTTTTCTGTTTGAATATAAAGTATTTTCAATTGTGCGTATAAGTAGTTCAATTTACCTACAATCTACATATAAATATGAAAGTCCATTGTTAAATATGATTTTATATGTTTTATAAAACACAATGTTCTAATTACACAACCATCTGCTTAATAAAGCATTAAGAACATATCAGCTGGGTGTCTCAAAATTTAATTCAACTCTCTGAGAAAAATATTTAGAAAAGTATTTCGCAATATTTACCAACATTTTCAAAATTATTTACCAACATTTTCAAAATTATTTACCAACATTTTCAAAATTATTTACCAACATTTTCAAAATTATTTACCAACATTTTCCTAGTTAAACTAAAAGAATTTTTCACTCGTCATTTATATCTTTGTAACCAGATATCTTAAACAACAGGGTTACCCACTAGGGATGAGACTGTGAAGACGACCTAAACTCTTTATATGATTTCAAGGTGAAATTTTGTCTTCTGCTTAAATATAGTCTCTTAATGGTTTATTTATAGATTTGACAAAGAACCAAAAAGTTTATAGTTGCAGGGAATAATGATTATAAGGAAACAGACATTATAAATTTCATATAATCGTCTCTGAAGTCTCATCCTTTGTGGGCAACCCTGAATCTACACTCCCGTGGTTCTTCCGAGTTCCCCGATCAAAATTTGAGGCAAATCGGCCAAAGGGTTCCTGAGTTATGATCAGACATACAAACAGAGATTACAATAAACTTTATAGATATATTTTCTTATTTTTTGGTGCACCATTCCTAGATTGTTAGACGTCTGACATGAATTATTACTGATCCAGGTGTACTTAATCATTACCCAGCTACATCTCAGGGAGTATATAACACAGACCCTTGAATTCAAGGTTTCAAAGATTGAAACTTATATTTTCTTTATAATACAGGGTTACCCTGAGACTGTCAAGACGACCTCAATTTCTCTGAATATTACGATCCCGAGACTAAATAAATGTTTAGTGGGTTGTCAATTTTTTTGTATGTTTACGATTTGATGACCTTAGAACTGAACTTTTTCTTGCTTTATTAAGAATGTTAATTGTTAACCACCATAATTCATTCAGAACATTGTATACTGTATGTAAACAAACGCTGAATTTCCTTAATCTTCAATATAATAAAGCTCTTTGCTCTTATACAGGGTTTCCCACGAAACATGACAGTTGGTGAATAGTTTAGAATGCCTTTTCCCATTATTTGGCAATTTGTTTGATACCAAATATCAATACAAATATTATATGAGAGTCATGTTATATTGAAATTGATTTCAAAGTAAAATTGTTAACACAAATTCGAAATATAAGGAAGACGATTTTACCGACTCCGACTCCGATGCCGTTACCCGTTGCTTGTTTTCAAGACGTATGAATCCTTTTCTGTCCACATGTCACCCTCGCTTCTTCGTCCCCCCCCCACCCCACCCCTCTACACATCCCAGCCCGGCAGACTGGCAGTCAGAATGAAACACCGGAGATGATCACAACTCCGTCTCAGGGAGCAACCCTGGCTCCTTCATAGTGATGATGCAGATACCTAGCTATCAACAGACGATGCTTACATCCAGCTCAATATTGTTCCAAGAGTTCCAAAATTATCAGGCGAACATTGAGACGCATTCCCTCATATTCGAAACTGATAAAACCGCGATCTCTCCCCTGTTCCAAGAGTTCCAAAATTATCAGGCGAACATTGAGACGCATTCCCTCATATTCGAAACTGATAAACCCGCGATCTCTCCCCCTCCTTGTCCAAAGCCTGGGGTGAGCGGAAACCTGTTGTTCCAGTTCCTGATGATCTGCACCACCATCATGAAGCTCTACAAATATGTTCCAACTGATGTTCCTCAATAGTTTTCTTTTTTTTTCATTTTTAACCAACCAATTTTACTCAGCCATGTGCAAATATTTCAAAACTTTCGTTTTTTTTAAAATAAATGTTAGAAATATCCATTTTAGATCTCTTTTATTTTATTATAGTGACTTTTAAAGTCAACAAAAATATAATTAAGCAAAAGATTTGTTTAACTAAAAATAACTATGTATTGAATGTCATGTTTTGTGGGACACCTTGTATGTATAAATGTCAGCTATAGCTAGCAAACGGCTGGACCAAATGGGCTGACATTTTTTGAGTGAACCCTTGAGTACTCTTGGGGTAAAAATTAAATTTTTTCAAAAAAATTTTTCTTCAAATTCAAATTTTTTCAAGTGTTCCAAATATTCCAAGGGCAACGCCGGGCAGGCACTTCAGTGAGTAGAGAAATAAATCAGAAATACTGCATCACTAAACACTAATATATCTTCGGTCAGTGTACTGCAAATTACATCAGAACGCACCGAAAGCTTAGTTTAGGGTGATACACGCCAAATTAAAAATGAAAACAAATTATCCGATTCTAATTTCTAAAGTTTTGTCCTCCGTAAAATTAAAATAATATACAGGAAATTTTTTTAATATTCCATAAATTTGCGTGTTTTTATTGTTTTCAAATAAATTCCTCTACATACAGCAATGTATTTAAACCAGATAAAAACCTTGAAATGTTTGGTAAAATTAATTTAAGAGGATTTTGAAATAAACAACATTTATTTAGGTTCATTGTATAAACAGTACATGTATGTTTTTCTCAGAGCCCGGAATTTAAAACAGTATAGTTGAACGAAACTCCCGAGTTTACATTTTGTGTAGATTTTGATTAAAAAGATTTAAAAAATTGAGTATATTGAAGAAATTAAATGAGAAAATATTTTATAACAAAATATTGATATCGACAAAAATGCCTAACCTCCTTCTTGAAACCCGGGTTTCAAAACTGGTTTTCATAACAATACCCTTTCTTAAGTTTTGGGCTCTGGGATAAGAGAGTACAGAGATATATTAAAGTCTTACAGAATATGCGATATTTTCCACAGCAGGTTCATTGTGGACAACTGGAATAAACGACCTGTAAATAGACGACAGTATTCAGGAATATAATACAAAACTATGAATTCATAAATTTTATGTTTTATGTTTAAGGTATATCTTTAAAAATTGTAAAACTTAACCACTGAACGGATATGCAACACGAGGCCGTTAGATGGCAGTCAAAGACCTTTAGCAGAAATGTTACATGTCGGTAAAAAATAGGCCTGGTCAAGGAGATATTGAATAGAAGGAGGGGGCGATAGGGTTTCCGTACAATTTGCTGTGACGTTTCTGGACTTGTCGTCTTCACTGTTCATCTTGTGGAGACATTATAGACACATCTTTACAGCCATTTACCGTTTTCATAAAATAAACTCTAGCAGACATAATAATTAATACAATGGCTTTTAAAATCAGGTATTACAATACTAATTATAACAAATACGATATCGAATTAGCCACTGAATTCCCATGTTTATTGGGACACCCTGTAGTCTGTGGTTTTTCTACGCAATAATATGATATTTGATATAAATGTTGGTTCCCTTGTTTGCTTGAGTCTCAATTTTAAAAAAAAAACTCTTTTAAAGGTACTGTCAGCGTAATATGGAGTGGCCTTTTCTGCAAAGATGGCAATGCCAATTTGCAACGGTACAGGCCTTATAACCTTGTTCTGGTCAAATTTGTAAAATATTAAAATTGGTTTTTGGACTCAAAAGTGTTTACTTCTGTCAATTTCTCCATTGCTTCTTTTAAGCGAGAAACGCAACCGCAAGTCACTTTCACAGAGAACCCGCAAGTGAAAATAAACAGTTTAAAGAAACGAAAACATGAATATCCAATTCATATTTTAGACAAAACATTTTTTTCGGGCATTATCATCTTTTCATGCAAGGTCACTTTTAATTACGATACCATTCCCTTTAAAATGTATTTCCCTTAAACCGAAAGCTAACAAGGCTTATCATACCCAGAATATTTGTATTAAATTCAAAAGTCTGGAAAATCATTTTTAATGGCGGTTTTTCCAGGGATCAAAGGATCAAGCTAGTCAAAGTAAATTTCAGATAACAATGTCTTATTCTATAATTTAAAAATAAACTTTTTTAAAATCGGATTAAAGGGACTGTAAACGTAATTTCAAGTGACTATGGAATTACAGAGTGGGATAGAGTTGCATGTACGATTGGTACCGATGCCCTCTAGAGCTTTTTTTATCAAGTATGAATTAGATATCCATGGTTTGCTTTTAGTTTTAAACACTTATTATTTTTATTTGTGATTTCTAAAAAACACAGGTATCTTACACAATATAGATCTGATTGATCTGATTAATTTGATAGATCTGATTAATCTGAATGGTCTGATTGATCTGAATGATCTGATTGATCTGATTGATCTGATTGATCTGATTGATCTGATTGATCTGATTAATCTAATTAATCTGATTGATCTGATTAATCAGATTGATCAGATTATGATCTGATTGATCTGATTGATCTGATTGATCTGATTGATCTGATTGATCTTATTAATCTAATTTATCTGATTAATCTGATTAATCTTATTAATCTGATTAATCTATAATTAATCTGATTAATCTAATTAATCTAATTAATCTGATTGATCTGATTTATCTAATTAATCTGATTGATCTGATTAATCAGATTGATCAGATTAATCTGATTGATCTGATTAATCTGATTGATCTGATTGATCTGAATTATCTGATTAATCTAATTAATCTGATTGATCTGATTAATCTTATTAATCTGATTGATCTGATTAATCTAATTAATCTGATTAATCTGATTAATCTGATTGATCTGATTGATCTGATTGATCTGATTGATCTGATTGATCTGATTAATCTAATTAATCTGATTGATCTGATTAATCTTATTAATCTGATTGATCTGATTAATCTAATTGATCTGATTAATCTGATTGATCTGATTGATCTGATTGATCTGATTAATCTGATTGATCTGATTAATCTGATTGATCTGATTGATCAGATTGATCTTATAGATCTGATTGATCTGATTAATCTGATTAATCAGATTTGTCTGATTGATCAAACTAACGAATAAATGGTGTTAATGTTGGATGAGGTAAGACCCCCTGAAGTGATGATAGGACGGAAAGAACTTCAATCTTCTCAGTAATATTCCTCTATAACAACCGTAGCATTAATATTATACATTGGGACTAATAAAACTGAAGAAATTTAGGCAATCTTACTTGTTATATAGATAATAGTTTTTTCAACTAATTAAGTGAAACGGGTCTGTGTACACTGCACAATTTACTGTTTAAAGCATAACTTGAGTCTAGCAGTCGTTGCACATCCCTTGAAACTGGGAAATGTGTCAGGGCTGAAAAATAAAAAATGTCCCATCCGAAAAAAATAAACTCTAAAAGCATTTTCCAGCTTTAAAGCAGAAAATCCCTCGGGGCTTGGGTTCTCATTGGTTCTAATGAAGTAAATGATATATTGTAAAAAAAAATCAATAAAATAAAAGATAATTATGGAAATTTCAGATGATATAATCACTTTAAATTATCTAAATCCACATTACATTCATTTCTAATATTTAGCAAACCGATTTGTAATACCCAAGGGTGTAATGCAAGGAAAGTTAATTGCGGTCGTAAAAAAGAATAGATGCATCAGTGTTCGTTTAGTATCTGAGGAGGTTAAAAGCATTAAATTTGATAATTTTGATAATTCACATAATAGTTTCCTATGACCAGAATATTTCATTGATTTTTTATTTGAAAGATAGATCCCATGTCAGGCTGTTACATCCGTCTTGTGTTTACATTTCCGCCCAGAGACAGTACACTGCAGTACAAAAGATGCGTACACTTCTGAAATAACTTTCTTCGCATTACATCCTTGGTAATACCTAATGGTCATTTTTCGTTTTCGGCTTACCAAACGGGACATTCTTATTAGGGTCAAATACAAATAAAATGCACAACGTCCCTCGCTCCACAGAACTTGATATTCCCGTCTGCAGATGATTAAATTATAAACCAGATCAGCACTGATCAGAACTTCCTAAAACAAAAAGGAAAATTAAAGGTGCTCTTTACTAATTTATTGCGACCACTCCCTTTAAAAGATCGAACTAACATTCCTTGACAGTTGGCCATTTAAGTGTTAGCTACAAGCGCTGGTAAATGTTTGAGAAAGTTAACTCTAGAAATGTAAATCTATGTATGTAAGAATCTAGCCAACATTAGTAAAGTCAATTGGGGGCAAAAATAAAAAAATCATCAGACCTTGTATTGAAAAATGTGTTTGTGGAATTGAGTTTGCTTTTATAATTAGGGGCATAATTGAGTGCAGGTTTAGAAAAAAATATATTGGGGACATGTTGCAGAAAGTTAGAACTAGAATAAAGAAATGTAAATCTATGAATGTAAAAATCTATCCAACATTATTAGAGTCAAAGTATGCAAATGCAAATGTAAAGAAACTTTACTGTTCTTGCGCCCCATTTATAAAACAAATTTTTTAGAGAAAGTTCATTTGTTCGTTTTTCTTCTATTAAGTTTCATTATTATTATTATCATCATTATTATTCATTTTTAGAGGTGAAGGTCCTATTTACAACTGAACCCTTGAAACCTTTATTCATAAATAATGATAAATAATTTAAAAGTGTTAATTTCTGAGAAGCCTACGAGATAGAGAACCCCTGGACGCCAGGAGCCTCCGCCATGTGCAAACACGAGCCTCCCAGATTTGCTAGGCCAGGCAGACCAAGCCTCTGTCATGCAGTAAATGGGCCTCCTCTTTACAGAATAGTTTCCTTAAAGCTCTTTGCTTTTACATGTATATAAAGAAGTTTTGTATATTTATCAAAATAGTGGCTCAACAAGATTATCAAATATCAGAAGTATTATTCAATTATTATGAATAATGACTAATCATGACTAGTAAAATAGTGGCTCAACAAGATTATCAAATATCAGAAGTATTATTCAATTATTATGAATAATGACTAATCATGACTAGTAAAATTGTTTATAAAACTTGAAACATTTTTTTACGCAAAAAGAAAGAGAAAGAAAGAGATAAAGGTATTGCTTTAATCAAAGATTTAAACAAAATAAACTAAGTTTAAATCAGATAAGAATTTACAAAAGCCTCATTATACTGCGTAAGAAATGTGTAAACATAAATCTTATAAACCACTTTATAAGTCATTATAAGTTACAAATTATGACTTTCAATAAGCAACATTAATCTTAAGTAAAATTCTTGTGCCACTTTGTTGAAAATAATGAAAAAAGTGATATTTTACATGTACAAACTAAGAGTTATAAGGAAGCTGTACTGTATAGCGCAGGCTCTTAGGCATGGCGGAGGCTCGATCTGTTCAGCAAATATGGAATGCTGTTGTCTGCATGGCGAAGGCTCATGGCATCCGAGGGTTTCCTCCCTCTTCCTAAATACATAGGCTTTCCTTTAGCCAGGGGCGGATACATGGGGGGGGGCGGGGGGACATTCGCCCCCCTGAATTTGGAATTTTTTGTTCCTATTTTCAGAATAGCTTCTCAATAGCATGCTTAAGGCAAAGAAACCCTAAGTGCAAAACAGGAAAAATATCTGTCTTAATAAACTATAATGTGTGAAAAGTTAAAAATCTAGTTTTTTAGTCTTTAGTCATTAATTTTGACTCTTTTTGAGTCTTTTAAGTCAAATTTTTTTGTTCCTAATTATGAATTTTTTTGTTCCTTAAAAAGCTTGCCCCCCCCCCCCCTCACTTAAATCCTGTATCCGCCCCTGCCTGCAGCGTAATGCACAAGTCATTTTTGAAGAAAACCCAATATTGAAAATTAATCAGTTTCAAATTATACACGTGGATATTTAATTCATACTTGATCAGAAAAAGCTTTCAATGGTTTTTTTGTGAATCGGAAATGCTTATTTCTCATGCTGATTTGAGCTCAAATTAATAATCTAAGTTGATTAAGTTCTAAATTCTACAAAGCTACAGAAAACTCTGAAATAGAAAGACGACTTTTAAACTAAAGTTAGAACTTAAACTCGTTTAATGAACATTAGACATAGCAATTGTACAGTGTAAATAGACCCATTTCACTTAAATAGTGCTTTGCTAAGTTACTAGTAACAATATTTGCTTTGTAACAACATCAAAACCCTTAATTATTGCTATGATGTCGTCTTTCTATTCCATTGTTTTCTGGTTATTACTGTAGTTTATTTAATTCCAGAAATATACAAATTGTATATTGTACAGTGTGTCCCAATAAACATGGGAATTAAGTGACGAATTAGAAATAGTCTTTGTTAAAAATTAGCGTTGTATTACCTAATTTCATTGGTTATGTCTGCTATAGTATATTTTATGTAAACGGTAAAAAGGCTGTTTTGTTGAAATGAAAAACGATATTCTGTATAATTTCTGAAAGATTAACAGTGAAAAGGAACACCTTTACTATGTTTGTAAACAGGAACTTCTCATTTTACTCAGTACAATAGTAGGGTAACACAATATAAACCTTGACATAACAAAACAAATTCTGAACTATATCAGACTGATAACAGCTTTCTCAGTGGGTATCACATTACTAAATCAAAAATCATTCACATAAACAATGTCAAAATCGTCACTCAATTCCCATGGGACACCCTGAATATTGCAAACAAGGATAATATGTTTATTGCATATATTAAACAGAGATAATTTCCACATTATAAACGTATAATAAGCGAGTACGGTGCAGAGCCGCAATTAGCTCAACGAAATCACCTCCTGAGCCATTACAGATAGGCAGGATCACCTCCTGAGCCCCTACAGATACGCAGAATCACCTCCAAACCCCACAAAATCGTCTCCATTCCTCTCACTACGCCGCCAAGTCTCAGCCATTCTGTCTCTGCGGGGCTTGAAGGTCAATCTGCGTATAAGGAGGTCATTTCTCGGGGCTCATAGCGGCCCAGCACCCCCTCTCTCGTCTACATTAGAATATTAAAATAACCTTAATTAGATAGAAGTAAAAGATAATCTTGTTTCCTGAATCCTGGGCAAAATCAGGGTTGTTGTAAAGAACAAGGATCAGAACCTCACCAACTAATCTGTATCATAATATCATTATTGTTATTTTTTTCGAATTTGAAATATATAGTTTAGTTTAAAGTATAAGCTACACTTTAAAATCTTTATCGACATTTATAGAAAAAAATAATGAGATATAAAACAGAGATGATTATTATTTTAATACAAATTTTTGCGGGGGGAGCAGTTAATACCCCCCCCCCCTTGATAAGGGGTTTTACATAACTCAAAAACTATTAAACTAAAAGAATATTTAAAAAATGTTTAATCCTGATTTTTCCACCTACTGCATGAGTTCTCAGCCCTCAGAAATACTGCCGGAATGCCTGATTTTGTCTTTGCTAACCAATATTCCTGACTAGATCTCATTTCAGGTTTTGGGATTTTTTAAATAAAAGCTAGTTGAAGAGCCTAAGCTAGTTGAAGAGCCTAAGCTAGTTGAAGATCCTAAGCTAGTTGAAGATCCTAAGCTAGTTGAATAGCCTAAGCTAGTTGAAGATCCTAAGCTAGTTGAAGATCCTAAGCTAGTTGAAGATCCTAAGCTAGTTGAAGATCCTAAGCTAGTTGAAGATCCTATGCTAGTTGAAGAGCCTAATCTAGTTGAAGACCCTAAGCTAGTTGAAGAGCCTAAGCTAGTTGAAGAACCTAAGCTAGTTGAAGAGCCTAAGCTAGTTGAAGAGCCTAAGATAGTTGAAGAGCCTAAGCTAGATGAATAGCCTAAGCTAGTAAAAGAGCCTAAGCTAGTTGAAGAGCCTAAGCTAGTTGAAGAGCCTAAGCTAGTTGAAGAGCCTAAGCTAGTTGAAGACCCTAAGCTAGTTGAAGACCCTAAGCTAGTTGAAGAGCCTAAGCTAGTCAAAGAGCTTAAGCTAGTTGAAGAGCCTAAGCTAGTTGAAGAGCCTAAGCTATTTGAAGATTCTAAGCTAGTTGAAGAGCCTAAGCTAGTTGAAGAGCCTAATCTAGTTGAAGAGCCTAAGCTATATGAAGAGCCTAAGCTAGTTTCAGAGCCTAAACTAGTGGAATAGCCTAAGCTAGTTAAAGAGTCTAAGCTAGATAAAGAGCCTAAGCTAGTTAAAGAGCCTTAACTAGTTAAAGAGCCTAAGCTAGTTGAAGAGCCTAGGCTAGTTAAAGAGCCTAAGCTAGTTTAAGAGCCTAAGCTAGTTGAATAACCTAGGCTAGTTAAAGAGCCTAAGCAAGTTAAAGAGCCTAAGCTAGTTAAAGAGCCTAAGCTAGTTAAAGATCCTAAGCTAGTTGAAGAGCCTAAGCTAGTTGAAGAGCCTAAGCTATTTGAAGAGCCTAAGCTATTTGAAGAGCCTAAGCTAGTTGAAGAGCTTATGCTAGTTGAAGAGCCTAAGCTAGTTGAAGAGCCTAAGCTAGTTTAAGAGCCTAAGCTAGATGAAGAGAGATTAAACAGTGTTTTGCAAAATATATTTAACCTGAAGAACACGAACTGAAGTGCTTAAACAGTGTTTTGCAAAATATATTTAACCTGAAGAACACGAACTGAAGTGATTAAACAGTGTTTTGCAAAATATATTTAACCTGAAGAACACGAACTGAAGTGCTTAAACAGTGTTTTGCAAAATATATTTTACCTGAAGAACACGAACTGAAGTGCTTAAACAGTGTTTTGTAAAATATATTTTACCTGAAGAACACGAACTGAAGTGCTTTTCTCAAACATTGTCTACAAAAGTTGGAATTCATTTAAAATTAGTTTTAATCAGAAAAATTTGTATATCATACAGTGAAACCCTTAATAACGAATACATCGAAAGAATTCATCAAATGTCGTATTCTTCACTTTCTGATAATGGAATGTTGCTGATATTTAGTGATTATAAGGAACTCTTTAAAACTGTTCCCGCATATTCATGGCATTTACTTATTTTCGCAAATACTGAAATTTACGTAATATAGTATTAAACTCATTTAAAAATTGTCAAGACGACATTTGATAAATTCTTCCGATGTATTCGTTATTAAGGGTTTCACGTTAAAAAATTCTAGAGAGAAGATTCTAGAAAAAAGTTTATAATAAGAAGTTTTTAGAAAGAAGTTACTAGAAAGAAGTTTGTCGTAGAAATTTACCTGTAGTTGACAACACTTCTTCTATATCTCAAACCAACCCTTTTTATACTTCCTTGTACTTCCTCCCTGAGAAAATGAGTTTGGCATCATTCAGGGTGTCTCAATAAACATGGGGATTCAGTGACGACATTTATATTGTCTTCTAACATTGAAAACGTCTGATTTTGAGATTTTCAAAATGTGTTTTGTATTAAAGACGATATCCAAGTCGTCCTTCAATTCCCATGCTTATTGGGACACCCTGTACAAGGGTTTACCATTATAGGATGAAACTTCAATCTGCAGCAGCTTTAGAATATAATGATCTGAAAGTTGAATCCTGGTCTTAACTATCTTAAAAAAATTTTTAACGAAATATCAAATAATTTGACAACGAAACAAAAAAGTTAAATTTAAGATTAAATTCTCATTCTTTCTTATTAAACCTTATATTTAAACCTTCTTTCGTTATTTTAACACAATGTTAAAATATGCTAAATTTTAACAACAAAAAAAGGATTTTCTTAAAGTCAATAAACTTAAAATATGTTCCTAAATTCAAGAAACATAAAATATGTTCCTAAATTCAAGAAATATAAAGGATATTCTTAAATTCAATAAATATAAAGAATATTCCTAAATTCAATAAATATAAAGGATATTCCTAAATTCAATAAATATAAAGAATATTCCTAAATATAATAAATATAAAGGATATTCCTAAATATGATAAATATAAAGGATATTCCTAAATTTAATAAATATAAAGGATATTCCTAAATATAATAAATATCAAGGATATTCCTAAATATAATAAATATCAAGGATATTCCTAAATTCAATAAATATAAAGGATATTCCTAAATTCAATAAATATAAAGGATATTCCTAAATTTAATAAATTTAAAGGATATTCCTAAATATAATAAATATAAAGGATATTCCTTAATTCGATAAATATAAAGGATATTCCTAAATATAATAAATATAAAGGATATTCCTAAATATAATAAATATAAAGGATATTCCTAAATATGATAAATATAAAGGATATTCCTAAATTTAAGAAATATAAAGAATGTTTCTTAACTCGATTAATATATTGGGTTATTCAATTCATGTGTAAATTTCTGACTTTTCAAAAATCTTCATGCGCTTAAAATATAATTTTTCAGCAATATATCGAGTTTTCAAGAATACTAAGAATTACAATAAGATAGTAAAAGAACAGTGCTTGCACTGGAGAAATGAGAATCAGATTCTTGACCTATTTTTTACCTGACAAACTTGTTTATCCTGAGATGAACTAAACTCATGAATATGAGGGGCTCAACCTATTATTCACCTGACAAACTTAGTTCTGAGATGAACTAAACCCATGAATATGAGGGGCTCAACCTATTATTCACCTGACAAACTTAGTTCTGAGATGAACTAAACCCATGAATATGAGGGGCTCAACCTATTATTCACCTGACAAACTTAGTTCTGAGATGAACTAAACCCATGAATATGAGGGGCTCAACCTATTATTCACCTGACAAACTTAGTTATCCTGAGATGAACTAAACTCATGAATATGAGGCTCAGTCCAAGGAAAGTCAAGTACAGAAGTCGGGCCTGAAAACAGTGTTTTTAACATAAAAGTTTGAAAAATATCTCCGCTAAACGTGGACTACCTGCTTCATATCGAAACATTACCACACACTTCTCTACCTCCCTTATGCAAGATTAGAGTTAAAATTAGTAATTTATTTTACACTGGAAGGGACAGTTAGAATAATTTCGAGTAACCATCCATGAAAAGACTACTTTCAATTTTGGTTTCATGGGTATTGTTGTGAATTGGGCGTTGTAATCTTTGCATCAGGGGTCACTTGAAATTACGCTTACAGCCCTTTTAACCTTTTTGAACTGCTTTTGACTGATGCTCTGAACACTTTTCCTAAAACAACAAAAATTGTGATATCATTTATATTTTTTAAACACAAAACGATGAAAAAAAATAAAAAGTGTTTAGCTAAATTATGTTTTATAAATAAGGAAAATCATAATAACTACTTCATTCCATTGGGTTGTTAATATCTTCTTTGGAATTTGAGTTATAAATATCGTGTAACCCTATATCTGTCAACCTGAACTATGTTGTATATTATTAATTATCTACGTTTGTAAATAGCTACGTAAAACCTATCATGATTTATCTTAACTGCGCTGTGAATAACTATTTAACATGATCATCTTAACTACGCTGTATATAGCTACCTAAAACCTGTAGCTTAATTACGTTTGTAACGATGTAAATCTTGTAATTACGTCGGTTAACTTAACTTGTAACAAAGAACCGAAATACGTTCATTACGGAGTGAGAGTAATTTTTCTTGGTTAGCAAACGAGAAGCGTCCTGAATCACTTTCTTGAATGATAGATATAGATTGGGAATTACATTGAGAATACAGACTGAGTCGTATCCGGATTGATATTGACTATGGTATTCATGTGAATCTTGAGTTCCTAGATTGAGATGGACCTGGATTGATATGGATTTAACAGTATATATTGGAGTAGGGCATTTACTACATTTGGAGATAAACATTTAAACCTTTGATCGATCAAAAGTGATAAATATATATTCTTATTTTTCCCTTTAAAAAATGATAACTTTCTTCAAAAGTGATTTTTTGCAGCAGCGACAAAGAATAAAGGTAACAGAATATTCATATTTTCCAGAAAACGACGGCATCCTTCTCATATTTTACTTGGATACCGTTGTTAATCTATATTAACTCTTTAATGGAGGATAAGATGAAATAACACAGAGAGTCCCTTTAATAACATAAATGCTTACCCTGTACAAATCATGATCAAGACAAAGTTCTCCGGATAGGCCGGGGAGTTCATCCAGTTCAGTATCACTTTATTCATAGATAAATATAGATGTACTAGTTCATAATCCATTTATTTGAAGTTAAATATTGTTACACGAGCTCACGCTGCGTCTTAAGTCTACCAGTATTCATCCCTGTTCCTAGTCGTTGTTTCTGAGGGAGAGAAGCTGTTTTTTACCGACAAATTGTTTTATTATGTTGCGCATGCACTAAAACTCATGTGTTAATTTAGTTTACCAGAGCCGGCGATTTAAAAAATTCAAGAAAATACGACTCGGGTCTAAGCTGTCGTTGAGCCTTATTTACGGCTCGGGCTTTCGGATTTAAGTTGCATCTAATTTTCAACAGAGTTTAGTTCATAAAACCGGTTTAATGTTGTAGTTGGCGGGAATAAGACCCAACATGTAGCCTTATTCTTCACTAAAACCAACCAAGGTCGGTTTTATTTTCATTGGGCCTAACTCCTTGAGTCGAGTCTAAGATCTCGCAGCTGTCAATCACGTGACACAAGCTGTCGTTAGAGTTGGGTCGAAGATTGGGTCTTAAAGTCGGGTTTAAGGAATTACGGCTCGAGCCGAAGCTTTTAAATCGCGGGCTCAGCATACTTAACAGAGAATAGTTATATATGTCATTTTTTCGGAGGACTAATGTGGTAAATATGTTTATTCAATAATTAAATTCTATGATTTATATAGGGAATATATATTCAGGATATAAATATAGGGAATATATATTCAGGATATATATAGGGAATATATATTCAGGATATATATATATAAGGAATATATATTCAGGATATATATATAGGGAATATTTATTCAGGATATAAATATAGGGAATATATATATTCAGGATATAAATATTGGGAATTTTATGAAACCGACAGTATGAATTCCGTACAGTCATCTCTTAAGTCTCATCCTTAGAGGGTAACCACCTGTATAAAGCTGTGTCTTTTAAATTAAATGTGTAACAGACTGATCGCGTAATGAACCGATTTAGAAATCATAAGTTTATACCTTTGACTCAATTTTCAGAAACAAGGCATTATTATATGCCTCAATTTTCAGAAACAAGGCATTATTATATGCCTCTATTTTCAGAAACCAGACATGATTATATGCCTCTATTTTCAGAAACAAGACATGATTAAATGCCTCTATTTTCAGAAACAAGACATGATTATATGCCTCTAGTTTCAGAAACAGGACATGATTATATGCCTCTATTTTCAGAAACAAGACATGATTAAATGCCTCTATTTTCAGAAACAGGACATGATTATATGCCTCTATTTTCAGAAACAAGACATGATTATATGCCTCTATTTTCAGAAACAAGGCATGATTATATGCCTCTATTTTCAGAAACAAGACATGATTAAATGCATCTATTTTCAGAAACAAGACATTATTATATGCCTTTGCATCAAATAATGATTTCTTCTTTAGGGAATATTTGATATTAGATATTTGAAGATAATCAGCTCAAAAATATAGAATTTTCTGGAAAAGTAAAGTAAATATTTTCAAATATTTTAACTATTGCTAATACGTTGTTCGTTTTTTCTTGTTTTAACCCTAAATGGCCGGTGGTCTGAATCTATGTAAAGCGGGGGGGGGGGGGGNGATAGATAGATAGATAGATAGATAGATAGATAGATAGATAGATAGATAGATAGATAGATAGATAGATAGATAGATAGATAGATAGATAGATAGATAGATAGATAGATAGATAGATAGATAGATAGATAGATAGATAGATAGATAGATAGATAGATAGATAGATAGATAGATAGATAGATAGATAGATAGATAGATAGATAGATAGATAGATAGATAGATAGATAGATAGATAGATAGATAGATAGATAGATAGATAGATAGATAGATAGATAGATAGATAGATAGATAGATAGATAGATAGATAGATAGATATATAGATAGATAGATAGATATATAGATTGATAGATATTACCTTCCATGATCAAGTTTTCTGGATATATGATGATGAACATCCTGAGGAACAACCCGAAGAAGGTGAAGCTGTAGGTGATGACTGAGTAGATAAACTCCAAGCTTAACAAAAAAGTTCTTTTATCATTATTTTTTTATTCCCACGAACGTATTTGAATCAGTCTGACTAGTGCCACTAGTCAGGAGGGGAGGAAGGCCAGCCACAACAATTTCTATTCCGAACCACATTCTCCTTATTTTCTCGTCCGAGTCACCTCTAAATTCTCGTCCTTTCAATATTATTTTATAAAAGTCACAAGTGTCTAGTCCTCCAAGATAAAACAATTTTGTAAGAATAGGGCCACGTTAGGGCATAAATGAAATATTGAATTTTAGTAAATCGAAAAAAATAGTTTTAATTTAATTTAAGTTTTTAGAGTTCTATGTCCTTAAAAATGTTCACCTTTTTTACGCGCACTTTCATATATTTCTGGTGAGAATGCCGCAACTAATTCCGAAATTATAAAACTTTAATCTTTTTTCTTACTTATAGTGAAAACCATAGATTTTTTCCGGGTGGTTCCATTGGGAAAATGATAGGCATAGGTATGCCAAATATTTTGTTATTTATTTCATGTCGCGAAGGTAGGCCATTACGGACGGAGGCAGAAGAGTTTTAAGTTTTACCTAAATAAAGTTTGACATCATTCTCATGTCTCTAAAGTTTCAAACATGATTTAATCATTGCAATACTTCAGTCTATCCATATTTTATGCCCTAACGTGGCCAGATTTGTGAAAAATAGTTTTATCTTCAAGAATTTTCACTGAAGGCAGTATTGATTAAAGCTTTTTTATGAAACTTTTTTAGTTAAGGGCAAAAGCGAGATTTTAAAGTATTTATTTCTATACGATGTAATTATACTTAAATGGAATAAATGCGTAATTTCAAGTGACCCTCTATCGTTTCTGAAGCAAGAAATGCATTAATTACTTTTGTAGAGAAACCACAAATAAAAATAATCAGTTTTCAAAATAGGAAACATGGATATCTAATGCAATACTTGACCAGACAAAGCTTTGAAGGGTATTGTTGTGAATCAGAATATATTTTATTTCTTTTCTTGATCTTTTAATTTGGGTGAGTGCAATGCAATGCAATGTAGAATGTAGATTGCCTAAGGAAGGGAAATTCTAGCAGATGTAATATTAAGAGAGCCCCCCACATGGGTGCCAACCCTGAGGAGGGGGGGACGGGGGGCCCCCCTCGTACGCCCCTCCCTGCATCTGGTTAAATTTACAAAATCTTCAGCGGCAATTTTGTGCATATACTGGATATTGAGTTCCATTGCGGTAACCAAGCCAAATCTAGGCCAATAGTTGAACCCTCAGGTAAATCTATTTACTTGAAAACATTCATGCAAACTCTGAAGTCCTGAGTAGGTTGGTACAGCAGAGAACACAACTCATACAAGTACAGGTTCTATTCACAGGTGTACTTTGTACTTTAAACTATTTTAATCAGAGTACAGGTTTTACAGAGGTGTACTTTGTACTTATATATACCAGATTAATCAGAGGTGTACTATTTACTTCATAGTCTAGATTAATAAAAAAAACAAGTTATCAACTATTGAGAAGTTTTATTGTAAACAATATCGAAGGTTGGAAACATGGATCAAAGCCTGTGTAATCACTGTTTAGTATTTACTAATTAGTAGTTGTTAGGGTTTCCAGCGAACGAAAACTTTTGTGAAAAAATGCGAAAATTTTCGTTCATATTTCGTAAACATTTTCGCAAAATTTCACATTTTATTTCCCATTACTGTAAAAATAATGTAAAAAAATTAATTGCGCAAAATAATTTGCGAAATTCTCTGCTCTGAGAGCTCAGCATCAGAAGTTTTATTATATCATAATTTTTCACCCTTAAATTTTCGCATTTGTTATTTTCGCGAATATTTCGCCTTTTTCACAAAACTTTTGCATTTCTTATTTTGAAAAAAATTCGCATTTTTTTCGCGAAACAGATTAAAGCGAAATTTCGCGAAAAAATTACGCTGGAAACCTTAGTCTTCTATACTTTGTTCTTTATCTATGTTTAGAATGTTTATCACTGATTTTAAATACTTTACGTTAACATATCATATTTAATTTATAAAATTTGTTTGTTTACGATGTATACTTTACACTATGATTATTTGGCCGCTAAAAAAAATAATGATATTTGAACTAGATATGAATGACCAGTATTGAATTCTGCAGTTGGGCGGAGTAATCCAACTCAGCAAAGTTCGGGTTCTACTTTCTTGGCCGGGTATAAGTCGTGTTTAACCATTTTCCCCAATATAAATATAAAGCAACCAAATAGATGTAAAATTAGTAGCGATATCCCTTTTTATTTTTCCTGAACACTCCCTTTAAATATATTTTTAACAGAGAAAGCGCCCCATTATTCAATACATAAAGTACATAATTGAAGTACAAAATATTCCTGAAATGTGAGAACATTGAAGAGTACAATTGCAGTGCCAAGGTTGGGGATACTCCATAAACTACAGAACAATATATTCAATTTAACAAAAGAATGTTGAACTCTCCACCGATACTACCGATAATATGGTTTAATCTCTACATGCAGTACGCGGGGTTTATTTATGAAGACCCATGAAGACCCCAAATAAAACAATTGTTATTTTCACTAGAACATATCTTATGAAGTTACGAAAATGTTTTCTTTACATCTATCTTAACCCTATTTCATACTGATGTCTCTCTACCCAAAATTCCCAGTTTATTAGAAAAAGTGTTTGTACGCAAATTGGCTCAATCTTTACTTTCAATTAAAAAAAAATTGTGAGGTAATGTTCAGTGAAACCTTGCGTAGAATTAAAAAAGGGGGGGGGGGATCGTGGGTCCAGCAAAAATATCACAAGTCTTTAACNAGGGGGGATCTTGGGTCCATCAAGACTATCACAAGTCTTTTACTAACATATTTAAAACTCTTACAAAAATATGATAGAAAAGTCATGTGTCTAGGGTGAAGGGGGTTGAGGGATGTTAAGG